GTATGTGGAGCGTTATTAACATTTGTATACATAAAAAACATGTATATAGACTGTTATTAACATTTGTATATATGTAACCACAAATATTTATTAGATATTCAATCTAATCGACGAGGGAGACAACATCAAGATATATACATAGATTTACAAAATGTTTTGGACATCCACAACAAACAACAATTCATTTGTCTCACGCAATGGACTGATTCAAAGTCTAAATATCAGAAGCGAGTGGGGTTAAAATTGGGCAAAAGAGGGGCTAAAATTATCGTCGTTCTGGACCTCGTGTCAGATTACTAAAAAACTAAATAACTTCCCCAATAACGTCTCTTACCCAATTATCCCAAAGAAAAAAACTATAAAAAGGGGTTATTTAGGTGAGTGAACAAATTTACATAGGGCAATTGACAAAAATTGCACAAAAAAAAAGTTTTTATTCCAAAATTAGCACAATATTTCTAAAATTCCACAAATAGCACCATAAACCTCAATTAAACTTAATTAAAACATAAGATAGAAAAGAAAAATGGAAGCAAACACTAACCTAATATTAAATTGAATCAAAATTTCTTTTAAATAGTGGAAATATATACCCTAAATTAAAAATAGAGAACCCAAATATAACACCACAAACTAATAGTAAAATAAAAAATCTCTTTTAAATAGTAGAAATATATACCAAAATTTGGAAATAGGGAATCCAAATACAATACCATAAACTAATATTAAAATGAATCAAAATCTCTTTTAAATGGTGGAAATATATACCCTAAATTAAAAATTAAAAACCCAAATATAATATTTTAAATTTATTTCTAATTTATTTTGCTTGAATAGTTTTTATATAAAAATTTTGGTTATATTAAAAAAATAAACTAGTGATAATAGTTTTAGAACAAAACTTAATAGTAAATCAACTTGTGCTATTTTTGGAAGTTTATGGAGTGTGTGTTATTATTGTCCATAACACTTGTTTTAGTGCTATTTTTGGGAATTTCTCATTTATATCTATACTAGTGTTTTTGCAACACTTTGGTGACGGGTGGGTAATCGGATATCCGACCCGTTTTTAAAATTCCTTCACAAAAAAAATTTGTTGGGTCGGGTTATATTTAATCCAACTCATACACCGGATATTTTATATTTAATAATTTAGATATTTAGAAGATTTGATTAAGATTTAAAATTATGATTCTCCTATCATCTTTGTTTGATTTGTTTTTAACTGTTTTGAATCATCATATAATACATAAAGTAAAAAAAAAAATCAATTTTTTTCTGCATATACTGTGATTCGAAATTTTAAAAACGGACATATATTATCCATTTGACGAAAATGTGTGTTCTACGTTCTAGATCGATTAAAATATTTAGGCAATGATTCAGAATCATATCATAAATAAGATCAACATTAATAAAATGAATGAGAGAAAGTTTATCAATTCGAAGGGGTACAAAGGAGGAGAAACCGGGACATTCTACCTTGTTCTCCAAACAGTAATCTCTCTCCGGAGAGTGAATGTCTCTGGTTTTCGAAGATTTTATCAGGTCATATCAAGGGGAGCGAATGGGTGCGAATATTTGCGGTTTCGTTTTTGATGACAATGACTTTTGTTGTAGGAACGACGGCGATGGAATTGAACTTGTTACTATTAACGGTTTATAATGGTGGCGAGAAAGTGTTATTATTACATCGCTTCGATGCAATTGAATGGGTGGATCTTTCCTCTTATAAGAAGAGGTGTCTTTCACTTGATGATGGATGGTTTATACTCTTTATCATCGGTGGTTTCTTTCCCGCGGTTTCCGGTGGCTTTATTCCGGTGGTCTGCGATGTTCTCTTTCTGCTGGATTTAATTCCTAGCGGTTCATGTTTAGTGGTTTTAGGATTTGTTCAAATTCTAACAGCCTTACTTTGGAAAAAACCACCATGGAAACCGCCATGGAGCAAACGGGGATCCGGAGACGAAGATACATCGTTCACCGGGTTATTAATAATGCAATGGACGGCAACACTCGATCACGAATCAATAAACTGGAAGCAAGGTCCATGGGCATTTATCAAGTGGATAGTCTCATTGGATAGATGGAGGAAAAGCCCAGATGATTATTTTTGGAACCACATTCAAGACACATTGTGTCTTGTATTAATGCAACCAACGATTTCATGTGATTCACTCTCCGGATGCAGTCAATGTCTTTTATTTTGGAGATGTCATTTGATTGTCGATCTTGGAATCAATATTTGGAAGAGTTGGGACTGTCTACTTTATCTTGAAGATAATAACATCCTCTTTCTGATGACATGGTCCGATGATGATGATGTTCTCTCATTCTCTCGGTTAGAAAATTCAGTTTCTATGAAAGGGGAAATGGTCACTAGGCGGCAAAGATGTGTACGGTGCTTCAAAAGTCATGCTTCAAAACCATATCAAACAACATATCAAATTTTACGTTTAATTAGAGTAATGCGGAAAGCATTTAGGAGTTTCATCTATAAGATGTTAGCCTTTTACAAGTGTATGAAGAGGGGACTTAACAGATTTATTCTGTTGCCTGTAAGGCTTCCGTTTAGAAAGCAGGGTCACTTCCACTTCTTCATCGAAATTGTGTTCAATTTCCTTTATTTGTCTCAATGGTTGTATTTGAATGGTTTTATGTATCATTTAAACTCTTATGATTTAATATAAGTGGTTTGCCGTAAAAAAAAAAAAATGTATGAGTTTTTTGGCCGGACGGATTTGGCGTGACGGGTTTTTGAATCAACAATAATAAAAAGATTAAAATATCATTAATCCGCCGCTTCAATACGGATTAAATCTTTATTTATTTTTAATACCACCAATATTAGACATATTAAATCAGTCTCATTTAGAAAAGATTGTATAAAACCAAAATTGTCCCGTGGTATAATGTTACTTAATAAAAATATTTATAAAATTTTAAAATATCATTAACATGCCGCTTTAATACATATTAAATCTTCAGTTTATTAAAATATAAATGTCTTAGAGAATGATATGATTTGTAAACTTTTATATATAATAAATAATCATTAAATTTTAAAATAAAAACAAATCACGGGACGGGTTAAGAAATTACGGAACGAGTTATATTTCGGAAAAGATTTATATGGCGGACGAATTTGAATCAATATTTATATACCGCTTTAATACGGATTAAATCCTCAATTTATTAATAATTGTCTCGTGGACTCGTGGTATACCGTTACTTAATAATAATTGTAAACTATAATAGAAATAAATATGTTATAACGAGATACAATTTACAAAATATTTTTATACTAACTTTAAAATTAAATCATCCCGCGGTGTACCGCGGGTTAAAATCTAGTATGATATTAAAAATATAGTACTTTTTTTTGTCATCCGAAATTAATTAGAGCTCAAAAGAGTCATTCGTAGGAAATGTTGTTTACATATGTGATATGAAGCGGTTCTGTACGAACTTTTCGTGCCAGATTATCCGCTTTAGCATTAGCCCTACGAGAAATTAAAGATAAAGAAAAAGATGAAAACTCCTCCTTGTCGCTCTGAAATTTCTCCAAGTACACTAAAAACGTCGGCCATTTGGTTGGAGAAGACACCATCTTCACTACGTCTGAACAGTCTGTAAAGAAACCTACCTCTTGATGATCTGCACCAAGCATACACTTCATCGCCCAGAGAAGGGCCTCGACTTCGGCATGTAGTGGAGATAGACTTCTATGGAGGTTCGCAGCTCTCCATTTGACGATGTACAGAACCACCCTGTACCGAAGAACTTATCACTTCCTTTCCATGATCCATCCACAAAACAACGGTATCCAGAATAATTCGACTCAAGTAAAGCATCCCTCACTCGAGCTCGATTTACCAAATCCACAGAACCATGATTTTCAATATAGAGCTCACTTTGAGCTGATTGCCACAATTGTGCCTCTTTTCCCGCTAATCGTAATACCTCTATTGGGTCTTTATCTATATTTTCAAGATCTTTTCGTTCTTTGCTTTCCAAATATACCAAATAATTCATGGGAAGGCTGATGAATAAAATCCTGAAGGTATTCTCCAAAATAAATGATCTAAATTCGCAAAATTAGATTCTGTGGTAAAAATCCCCATAGCCGTAGGAATCTGTGAAAGCTCCCAAATCTGCCGTGCCGGCTGTCACTGAAAGAGTGTATGATTGATCGTTTTCTCTCATGCGCCACATCTGCCACATCCCGTGTCACAATCAATTATTCTTTTCCGCAAATTTTCCATAACCGGTACACAACCCGTTAAAATTTGCCACAAGAAATGGCGTATCTTAGGTGGACACTGCACTTTCCAAGAATGTGCTTTTAGCAGGTTGATGTCAGGGCCAAAAAGGTTAAATTGGTCTCCGACTTTTCTATCTGTGCGGTATGATATCCCGATTGGACTGTATATTTTCCGGATTTTGTAAAATGCCAATCCAAATAATCTTCCTTTGTTAGCGCACCCACAGGTATGGCGCTTATTAGCACGACATCTTCTGGATCAAAGATCGCTTTTAAGAAATCAATATTCCAAAAATTCGACCGACTATCAATAAGATCGTAAACTTTTAAAGATGGGTCAACAACTGAACCATTACTTTATGCTAGTATCAAGAATTGAGCTGGAATCCAGCTACTACAAGAAAACATGGATTTAACGACTACACAAAACATAACTAAACAGTCGCTAAACCCATAATTACGACTAATTAGCGACTAAAACACGTTGTCGCTGAACACTGCGTCGCTAAAATTAATGGTAGCCTAACAGTCGCTATTTAGCGACCAATCTACGACCACTGTTTGGAGTCGCTATTCGGTCGCCTGACAGTCTCTACATTAGCGACTGTTTTGCTACAACCAGGTCACTAAATGGCAATTGTGTTGGCGACTAATGGGTGACTGAGGTAGCTACAAACAGGCCACTACAAGACGACTGTTTTATGAATGTTTTGGTGACGAAATTGCTATCACTTTGCGACTAATTAGAGGTTTATTTATCGATTTAGCCTGCTAATTTCGATTTCAATTAAGAATTATCATACTAATCAAAACCAAACATACAAAAATAACCTTTCAAATAAAAGAAGAAGTGCTTAATAAACATACAATACTTGTTCAATACAAACAAAGCATAATAAACATACAAGTTCAATACAAACAAAACATACTTGTACCATAAGTACAAACCAAAGATCAAGTTCAAGTTTTTGAGTTGAGAGGAGAGAAAGCTAAGTAGCAAGAGTAGTACCGTCAGGATTAGCAGCAGAACTTGTAGCTTGGACCTCTGAATGATCATCCGCAGAGTTGATTGGGACTTGAGGAAGGCCAGGAAATTAGGGTCAGTTTCACTCAAGTACTTCTTCACCATCATCAAGTGCTTAATCTCATCTGCTTGTTTAGCTGCGACCCGCATCGCCTCTACTTCACGTTCTGCTTGTAGAGCTACTTGTTCCTCTATCTTGCAGTTAGCATCCTTAAGCTGTGATTGCAGGGTTGTGAAAGAAGAAGTGCTTTGTGGGTACTTACGCTTCCCATTGATGTAAACCCGTAAGCTTCCAACTCCAAAGTACTCCCCTCTATCATTTGTGACAGTAGACTGCGTAAGAAAAGTAAAAACATTAGTCCTTAATAGATGATCAAAGCAATAATATGACAAAAGTAGACTGTAGACAAAAAGACAGAGTATTACCTAAAGAGAGATCTCATCATCCTCCTCTTGAGATAGCTCAGACCGACGCGAAGTACCATCAGACTATTCATCATTCTCATGAAGGTCAGCCAACTTAGCTGCCTTGTTCTTGAGATATGCCTCATGGATTTCCTGCACCGTCCTATCCACAAATGTCCCGTCCTTCTTGGTATGAGTCCTGATGAACACTTCTCCAATAGTAGGCGGTCTTCCTAATTCAACTTCCTGAAATGTTGTACCAGAGATGTCAGAATGTAACGAAACAAAACTAGTATTTAAAACACAGATGTAACTTGCCATCTCTTGCTCTACTTGTAAGAAGGACTTTGGACCAGATACATGCTTGTGAGGACCGAGACTATTACGGTAAGATATTCTAGCTGCTAATGTGGTTGAACTCTTTGCTATGGCTTCTTCAGTGTCCCAATAATGACACATCTCTTTTCACAGAGTTTTCTCAATCCAATACGGCTTCTCTCTTTTTGTTGCTGCCTTACTAACCATGTCTTTCATACGCAGTTGAATGATCTTATAGAATTTGGCTTCAACCACACCTGTCAATGAGGGATGCAAGGTGTGTTGTTTGTACAAAACAAGAGGAGAGTGAAGCAGATGTTAGTAATCAAAACAGAAGTATAAAAATACAGTAGTAGAAGAGGGATAGAAGTTTACCGCGAATTCAAGGAAGTATCTTTCTTTTTTTCCACTTGGCACACAGCTCCAACTGTAGTATGGTCCATCAAACTTGTTTGTAAAACACTTGGTGATCTTCCGGGTCAGCTTACCATTATCCTTACTAAACCTACAATCACATTAAACAGTTAGCTAAACACAAACAGACCTAAACACATTAAATTGTGCCTCTTTTCCCGCTAATCGTAATACCTCTATTGGGTCTTTATCTATATTTTCAAGATCTTTTCGTTCTTTGCTTTCCAAATATACCAAATAATTCATGGGAAGGCTGATGAATAAAATCCTGAAGGTATTCTCCAAAATAAATGATCTAAATTCGCAAAATTAGATTCTGTGGTAAAAATCCCCATAGCCGTAGGAATCTGTGAAAGCTCCCAAATCTGCCGTGCCGGCTGTCACTGAAAGAGTGTATGATTGATCGTTTTCTCTCATGCGCCACATCTGCCACATCCCGTGTCACAATCAATTATTCTTTTCCGCAAATTTTCCATAACCGGTACACAACCCGTTAAAATTTGCCACAAGAAATGGCGTATCTTAGGTGGACACTGCACTTTCCAAGAATGTGCTTTTAGCAGGTTGATGTCAGGGCCAAAAAGGTTAAATTGGTCTCCGACTTTTCTATCTGTGCGGTATGATATCCCGATTGGACTGTATATTTTCCGGATTTTGTAAAATGCCAATCCAAAGAATCTTCCTTTGTTAGCGCACCCACAGGTATGGCGCTTATTAGCACGACATCTTCTGGATCAAAGATCGCTTTTAAGAAATCAATATTCCAAAAATTCGACCGACTATCAATAAGATCGTAAACTTTTAAAGATGGGTCAACAACTGAACCATTACTTTATGCTAGTATCAAGAATTGAGCTGGAATCCAGCTACTACAAGAAAACATGGATTTAACGACTACACAAAACATAACTAAACAGTCGCTAAACCCATAATTACGACTAATTAGCGACTAAAACACGTTGTCGCTGAACACTGCGTCGCTAAAATTAATGGTAGCCTAACAGTCGCTATTTAGCGACCAATCTACGACCACTGTTTGGAGTCGCTATTCGGTCGCCTGACAGTCTCTACATTAGCGACTGTTTTGCTACAACCAGGTCACTAAATGGCAATTGTGTTGGCGACTAATGGGTGACTGAGGTAGCTACAAACAGACCACTACAAGACGACTGTTTTATGAATGTTTTGGTGACGAAATTGCTATCACTTTGCGACTAATTAGAGGTTTATTTATCGATTTAGCCTGCTAATTTCGATTTCAATTAAGAATTATCATACTAATCACAACCAAACATACAAAAATAACCTTTCAAATAGAAGAAGAAGTGCTTAATAAACATACAATACTTGTTCAATACAAACAAAGCATAATAAACATACAAGTTCAATACAAACAAAACATACTTGTACCATAAGTACAAACCAAAGATCAAGTTCAAGTTTTTGAGTTGAGAGGAGAGAAAGCTAAGTAGCAAGAGTAGTACCGTCAGGATTAGCAGCAGAACTTGTAGCTTGGACCTCTGAATGATCATCCGCAGAGTTGATTGGGACTTGAGGAAGGCCAGGAAATTAGGGTCAGTTTCAAGTACTTCTTCACCATCATCAAGTGCTTAATCTCATCTGCTTGTTTAGCTGCGACCCGCATCGCCTCTACTTCACGTTCTGCTTGTAGAGCTACTTGTTCCTCTATCTTGCAGTTAGCATCCTTAAGCTGTGATTGCAGGGTTGTGAAAGAAGAAGTGCTTTGTGGGTACTTACTCTTCCCATTGATGTAAACCCGTAAGCTTCCAACTCCAAAGTACTCCCCTCTATCATTTGTGACAGTAGACTGCGTAAGAAAAGTAAAAACATTAGTCCTTAATAGATGATCAAAGCAATAATATGACAAAAGTAGACTGTAGACAAAAAGACAGAGTATTACCTAAAGAGAGATCTCATCATCCTCCTCTTGAGATAGCTCAGACCGACGCGAAGTACCATCAGACTATTCATCATTCTCATGAAGGTCAGCCAACTTAGCTGCCTTGTTCTTGAGATATGCCTCATGGATTTCCTGCACCGTCCTATCCACAAATGTCCCGTCCTTCTTGGTATGAGTCCTGATGAACACTTCTCCAATAGTAGGCGGTCTTCCTAATTCAACTTCCTGAAATGTTGTACCAGAGATGTCAGAATGTAACGAAACAAAACTAGTATTTAAAACACAGATGTAACTTGCCATCTCTTGCTCTACTTGTAAGAAGGACTTTGGACCAGATACATGCTTGTGAGGACCGAGACCATTACGGTAAGATATTCTAGCTCCTAATGTGGTTGAACTCTTTGCTATGGCTTCTTCAGTGTCCCAATAATGACACATCTCTTTTCACAGAGTTTTCTCAATCCAATACGGCTTCTCTCTTTTTGTTGCTGCCTTACTAACCATGTCTTTCATACGCAGTTGAATGATCTTATAGAATTTGGCTTCAACCACACCTGTCAATGAGGGATGCAAGGTGTGTTGTTTGTACAAAACAAGAGGAGAGTGAAGCAGATGTTAGTAATCAAAACAGAAGTATAAAAATACAGTAGTAGAAGAGGGATAGAAGTTTACCGCGAATTCAAGGAAGTATCTTTCTTTTTTTCCACTTGGCACACAGCTCCAACTGTAGTATGGTCCATCAAACTTGTTTGTAAAACACTTGGTGATCTTCCGGGTCAGCTTACCATTATCCTTACTAAACCTACAATCACATTAAACAGTTAGCTAAACACAAACAGACCTAAACACAAGAATAAAAACCTGAACAGAAGTATAATCTATACACATACAGACCTAAACCTATACATAAACTATACCTAAACACAAGAATACAACACAAGAATACAGACCATACCTAAACACAAACATATCTAAACCTATACAAAAACTATACCTAAACACAAGAATACAGACCTAAACCTATACACAAACTATAACTAAACACAAGAATACCTAAACCTATACACAAACTATACCTAAACCTTAACAAAAACTATACATACCATACCTATAAACAACCTATAGTTTGATAAAAAAAAAAAAAAACTATAAAAAAGGGGTTATCCAGGTGAGTGACCAAATTTATATATGATATTAAAAATATAGCACTTTTTTTTTTGTCATCCAAAATTAGTTAGAGCTCAAAAAGTCATTCCTGAGAAATGTTGTTTACATATGTGATATGAAGCGGTTCTGTACGAACTTTTCGTGCCAGATTATCCGCTTAAACATTAGCCCTACGAGAAATTAAAGATAAAAAAAGATGAATACTCCTCTTTGTCGCTCTGAAATTCCTCCAAATACACTAAAAACGCCGGCCATTCGGTTGGAGAAGACACCATCTTTACCAGGTCTGAACAGTCTGTAAAGAACGCTACCTCTTGATGATCTGCACCAATCATACACTTCATCGCCCAGAGAAGGGCCTCGACTTCGGCATGTAGTGGAAATAGACTTCTACGGAGGTTCGCAGCTCCCATGGTTGGCGGCTCTCCATTTGACGATGTACAGAACTACCATGTACCGAAGAACTTATCACTTCCTTTCCATGATCCATCGACAAAACAACGGTATCCAGAATAATTCGACTCAAGTAAAGCATCCCTCACTCGAGTTCGAATTACCAAGTCCATAGAACCATGATTTTCAATATAGAGCTCAATTTGAGCTGACTGCCATAATTGTGCCTCTTTTTCCGCTAATCGTAATACCTCTATCGGGTCTTTATCTATATTTTCAAAGATCTTTTCGTTCTTTGCTTTCCAAATGTACCAAATAATCCATGGGAAGATTGATGAATCAAATCTTGAAGGTATTCTCCAAAATAAATAATCTAAATTCGCAAAATTAGATTCCGGTAAAAATCCCCATAGCCGTAGGAATCTGTGAAAGCTCCCAAATCTGCCGTGCCGGCTGACACTGAAAGAGTGTATGATTGATCGTTTTCTCTGATGCGCCACATCTGCCACATCCCATGTCACAATCAATTATTCTTTTCCGCAAATTTTTCGTAACCGGTACACAACCCGTTAAAATTTACCACAAGAAATGGCGTATCTTAGGTGGACACTGCACTTTCCAAGAATGTGCTTTTAGCAGGTTGATGTCAAGGCCAAAAAGGGTAAATTGGTCTCCGACTTTTTTATATGTGCGGTATGATATCCCGATTGGACTGTATATTTTCCGGATTATGTAAAATGTCAATCCAAAGAATCTTCCTTTGTTAGCGCACCCACAGGTATGGCGCTTATTAGCACGACATCTTCTGGATCAAAGATCGCTTTTAAGAAATCAATATTCCAAAAAATCGACCAACTATCTATTAGATCGTTAACTTTTAAAGATGGGTCAACAACCGAACAATTACTTTTTGCTGGTATCAGGAATTGAGCTGGAATCCAGCTACAACAAAAAAATATGGATTTAGCAACTACGCAAAACGTAACTAAACAGTCCCTAAACCCATAATTACGACTAATTGGTGACTAAAACACGTTGTCGCTGAACACTGCGTCGCTAAAATTAATGGTAGCCTAACAGTCGCTATTTAGCGACCAATCTGCGACCACTTTTTGGAGTCGCTATTCAGTCGCCTAACAGTCGCTACATTAGGGACTGTTTTGCTACAACCAGGTCACTAAATGGCGATTGTGTTGGCGACTAATGGGTGACTGAGGTAGCTACAAACAGGCCGTTACAAGGCGACTGTTTTATGAATGTTTTGGTGAGTAAATTGCTATCACTTTGCGACTGATTAGAGGTTTATTTCTCAATTCGGCCTGCTAATTTCGATTCCAGTTAAGAATTAGCATACTAATCAAAAACAAACATACAAAAATAACCTTTGAAATAAAAGAAGAAATGCTTAATAAACATACAATACTTGTTAAGTTCAATACAAACAATACATACTTGTACCATAAGTACAAACCAAAAATCAAGTTCAAGTTTTTAAGTTGAGAGGAGAGAAAGCTAAGTAGCAGGAGTAGTACCATCAGGATTAGCAGCAGGACTTGTAGCTTGGACTTCTGAATGATCATCCGCAGAGTTGATTGGGAGTTGAGGAAGGCCAAGAAACTAGTGTCAGTTTCACTCAAGTACTTCTTCACCATCGTCAAGTGCTTGATCTCAGCTGCTTGTTTAGCTGCGACCCGCAGTGCCTCTACTTCACGTTCTGCTTGTAGAGCTATTTGTTCCTCTATCTTGCGGTTAGCATCCTTAAGCTGTGATTGTAGGGTCGTGAAAGAAGAAGTTCTTCATGGGTACTTACGCTTCCCATTGATGTAAATCCTTAAGCTTCCAACTCCAAAGTACTCCCTTCTATCATTTGTGACAGTAGACTGCATAACAAAAGTAAAAACATTAGTCCTTAACAGGTAATCAAAGCAATAATATGACAAAAGTAGACTGTAGACCAAAAGACAGAGTATTACCTGAAGAAAGATCTCATCATCCTCCTCTTGAGATAGCTTAGACCGACGCGAAGTACCATCAGACTGTTCATCATTCTCATGAAGGGCAGCCTATTTAGCTGTCTTGTTCTTAAGATATGCCTCGTAGATTTCCTGCACCTTCCTATCCACAAATGTCCCATCTTTCTTGGTATGAGTCATGATGAACACTTCTCCAATAGTAGGCGGTCTTCCCAATTAAACTTCTTGAAATGTTGTAATAGAGATGTCAGAGTGTAACTAAACAAAACAAGTATTTCAAACACAGATGTAACTTACCATCTCTTGCTCTACTTGTAAGAAGGACTTTGGGCCAGATACATGCTTGTGAGGACCGAGACCATTACGGTAAGATATTCTAGCTGCTAATGTGGTTGAACTCTTTGCTATGGCTTCTTCAGTGTCCCAATAATGACACATCTCTTTTCACAGAGATTTCTCAATCCAATACGGCTTCTCTCTTTTTGTTGTTGCCTTACTAACCATGTCTTTCATACGCAGTTGAATGATCTTATAGAATTTGGCTTCAACCACACCTGTCAATGAGGGATCCAAGGTGTGTTGTTTGTACAAAACAAGAGGAGAGTGAAGCAGATGTTAGTAATCAAAACAGAAGTATAAAAATACAGTAGTAGAAGAGGGATAGAAGTTTACCGCGAATTCAAGGAAGTATCTTTCTTTTTTTCCACTTGGCACACAGCTCCAACTGTAGTATGGTCCATCAAACTTGTTTGTAAAACACTTGGTGATCTTCCGGGTCAGCTTACCATTATCCTTACTAAACCTACAATCACATTAAACAGTTAGCTAAACACAAACAGACCTAAACACAAGAATAAAAACCTGAACAGAAGTATAATCTATACACATACAGACCTAAACCTATACATAAACTATACCTAAACACAAGAATACAACACAAGAATACAGACCATACCTAAACACAAACATATCTAAACCTATACAAAAACTATACCTAAACACAAGAATACAGACCTAAACCTATACACAAACTATAACTAAACACAAGAATACCTAAACCTATACACAAACTATACCTAAACCTTAACACAAACTATACATACCATACCTATAAACAACCTATAGTTTGATAAAAAAAAAAAAAAAAACTATTAAAAAAGGGGTTATCCAGGTGAGTGACCAAATTTATATATGATATTAAAAATATAGCACTTTTTTTTTGTCATCCAAAATTAGTTAGAGCTCAAAAAGTCATTCCTGAGAAATGTTGTTTACATATGTGATATGAAGCGGTTCTGTACGAACTTTTCGTGCCTGATTATCCGCTTAAACATTAGCTCTACGAGAAATTAAAGATAAAAAAAGGTGAAAACTCCTCTTTGTTGCTCTGAAATTCCTCCAAATACACTAAAAACGTCGGCCATTCGGTTGGAGAAGACACCATCTTCACCAGGTCTGAACAGTCTGTAAAGAACGCTACCTCTTGATGATCTGCACCAATCATACACTTCATCGCCCAGAGAAGGGCCTCGACTTCGGCATGTAGTGGAAATAGACTTCTACGGAGGTTCGCAGCTCCCATGGTTGGCGGCTCTCCATTTGATGATGTACAGAACTACCATGTACCGAAGAACTTATCACTTCCTTTCTCTGATCCATCGACAAAACAACGGTATCCAGAATAATTCGACTCAAGTAAAGCATCCCTCACTCGAGTTCGATTTACCAAGTCCATAGAACCATGATTTTCAATATAGAGCTCAATTTGAGCTGACTGCCATAATTGTGCCTCTTTTTCCGCTATTCGTAATACCTCTATTGGGTCTTTATCTATATTTTCAAAGATCTTTTCTTTCTTTGCTTTCCAAATGTACCAAATAATCCATGGGAAGGCTGATGAATCAAATCTTGAAGGTATTCTCCAAAATAAATGATCTAAATTCGCAAAATTAGATTCCGGTAAAAATGCCCATAACCGTAGGAATCTGTGAAAGCTCCCAAATCTGCCGTGCCGGCTGACACTGAAAGAGTGTATGATTGATCGTTTTCTCTGATGCGCCACATCTGCCACATCCCGTGTCACAATCAATTCTTCTTTTCCGCAAATTTTCCGTAACCGGTACACAACCCGTTAAAATTTACCACAAGAAATGGCGTATCTTATGTGGACACTGCACTTTCCAAGAATGTGCTTTTAGCAGGTTGATGTCAAGGCCAAAAAGGGTAAATTGGTCTCCGACTTTTTTATATGTGCGGTATGATATCCCGATTGGACTGTATATTTTCCGGATTTTGTAAAATGTCAATCCAAAGAATCTTCCTTTGTTAGCGCACCCACAGGTATGGCGCTTATTAGCACGACATCTTCTGGATCAAACATCGCTTTTAAGAAATCAATATTCCAAAAATCAATATACCTAAACACAAACATATCTAAACCTATACAAAAACTATACCTAAACACAAGAATACAGACCTAAACCTATACACAAACTATAACTAAACACAAGAATACCTAAACCTATACACAAACTATACCTAAACCTTAACACAAACTATACATACCATACCTATAAACAACCTATAGTTTGATAAAAAAAAAAAAAAAAAAAACTATAAAAAAGGGGTTATCCAGGTGAGTGACCAAATTTATATATGATATTAAAAATATAGCACTTTTTTTTTTTTGTCATCCAAAATTAGTTAGAGCTCAAAAAGTCATTCCTGAGAAATGTTGTTTACATATGTGATATGAAGCGGTTCTGTACGAACTTTTCGTGCCAGATTATCCGCTTAAACATTAGCCCTACGAGAAATTAAAGATAAAAAAAGATGAAAACTCCTCTTTGTCGCTCTGAAATTCCTACAAATACACTAAAAACGCCGGCCATTCGGTTGGAGAAGACACCATCTTCACCAGGTCTGAACAGTCTGTAAAGAACGCTACCTCTTGATGATCTGCACCAATCATACACTTCATCGCCCAGAGAAGGGCCTCGACTTCGGCATGTAGTGGAAATAGACTTCTACGGAGGTTCGCAGCTCCCATGGTTGGCGGCTCTCCATTTGACGATGTACAGAACTACCATGTACCGAAGAACTTATCACTTCCTTTCCATGATCCATCGACAAAACAACGGTATCCAGAATAATTCGACTCAAGTAAAGCATCCCTCACTCGAGTTCGATTTACCAAGTCCATATATAGAACCATGATTTTCAATATAGAGCTCAATTTGAGCTGACTGCCATAATTGTGCCTCTTTTTCCGCTAATCGTAATACCTCTATTGGGTCTTTATCTATATTTTCAAAGATCTTTTCGTTCCTTGCTTTCCAAATATACCAAATAATCCATGGGTAGGCTGATGAATCAAATCTTGAAGGTATTCTCCAAAATAAATGATCTAAATTCGCAAAATTAGATTCCGGTAAAAATCCCCATAGCCGTAGGAATCTGTGAAAGCTTCCAGAAGATGTTTGATCCAGAAGATGTCGTGCTAATAAGCGCCATACCTGTGGGTGCGCTAACAAAGGAAGATTCTTTGGATTGACATTTTACAAAATGTTATCCATAAGATGTAACTTTCTTTTAAATGTTTTAAAATAAATGAAAATATCCGATTGCATCACCCGATACAACTCATTCAGATTGCATCACCCGATATAACTAAATGCTTAAAGTCAGATTTGGATTTTTAAATGCTTGTTTGCTTCTACATTTTGTTCATTCTCCTAAGCTTTTTGGCTTCAATTTAAGATATACATGTGGCTACAGCTAAAAGCAATATTGGGAACATAACTAACTAAGAATTTAGTACGTGGAAGCAAGATTTGCGTTTGTGAATATGTTATGCGGGGCTAAACATATTTTAAGGACATGAAATCAAAAGTGGGATCGGATCAAGGTTAAATAATCAAATGAAACAAGTGTGTATCTTATTAATGATTTTGTATGAATAATAATTGAAGATGATCTATTTGATTATTAAGTCAACGATCATATAATAAAGTTCACAGCTGTAATGGAATAATTTAAGAGATAATTGGCCAGCAGACAATGGATCTGAGTCTAATTAGTTTTTCAACATTTTCTTTTTAAGTCCATAACAAAAATAATTTTAGCCATTCGTCTGATATATATTTGTAGGGTGCTATAATTTTCCCATTTGAAAAAAAAAACAATAATTAATGTTAGTTTGTCCGTTATTAAATGTTTGGTTACATCAATTACCATCAACTTTTTTTTTGTCTCATATAAACGTTATATCATCTAACTAGTCAAGGGCGCTATTCCTCGTGTAAACAACTATTTTTTTGTAAATCTTTTGAAACCGAGGGCCATTGCTAACGATCTATTTTCTTCCGTCTGAGACATAATTAACTTTTGTCGATTCGCTAATTTGATGCTCTGTTTTTGTCTATGCGCCAATTGACCCATAATTTAAAGGGTAATTGACAAATATAGCACTAAAATATGTTTTTTTTTCTAAAAATAACACCACATTTGTAAAGTTCCACAAATTGCACCTTAAAATATAATTAAACATAAAATATAAATTATTAATTTAATTAAAACAAAAAATAAAAAGTAAAAATTGTGACATAAATTGTTTTGGCCGAAAAATGTTGATGGAAATTTTTTTGGCGGGAAAAACATATTTTCTATCGTAAAATTAATTATCATGTCAGGATATCATCTAGTAAATTTTGTTTACAAATGCTTTTTTTTCGATTGAGATGCTACTAATTTTGTGATTTATTTTTCATTATCAATTACTAGTTTTAATGATTTTAGTCCCTTTTTTGTTTCTCGTTTACTAAAAAGTGAGAGTTTTGATCCAAAATCATAATTGTTCTTGTTGTGTCTGGAAATGAATCAATACAATTAAAACAAAATAAACTACTCGACAGATACACTCACGATGGAAGGATTAATCTGGTCGTAAAAGCTTGGATTATCCCTTGCTATCAAACAAAAAAAATATGTCCAATGCAACAAAGCGACAAATACAAAAGGCTCAAAAGCACAACTTTTAATGATAAACTTTGTTGATATCGGATCCCACACACCATATTATTTTAGTGCTTTGGAGGTCTATCGATATGCAAACCCAAGAAGGTCCATATTGCACAAAAGAGAAGGTCCAGAAGTCGACAGCGTGATTAAAAAAACGAGATGGACCCCATTCACCTCGTGAATTGAAAATCTTCGAGCAAGAGACTCTCGCAAATCAATCTACCGACATATGACAGAAAATGTGCCCCAAAGAACCATTTGGCGGCCTCCAAGATAGCGGTGTGCCAGATCGATTTGTGGGAACATTAAGAGGAAGCAGGTTACTGCAAACTTTCTCTGACGCTATCAAGCAGCGGACCGAAATAACGTGCAATCTGTCTAACCGGTTTGGAAGTCTGGAACAAGATTTGCCATAATAAAGGCTTATTAGATAACCTTAACGGAAAATCATACTATTGTTTCAACTTGTTTGGATTCTTTGGCAGTGGGAACTGTTTCGAGAAATGCTCGCTATTTGAGTCTCCTATAGCTCGCAACTCTCTAACCCCTGAGGATACCTGAGCTTTGAACCCAACATGAAATTAGGTGGAAGAGGTTGACAACTTTCACCCCAAAGACCCGAACGAGCTTGCTTAGGAGAGAAATCCAGCTCCAGCTTCATATTTTGATGAAGTCAGTCGCGAACAGAAGGAGATAAAGTCAAAGTTCTAATATGCAACCAGTTCAGCACTCGATATTTACAGAGAGATCGAGGAAACAAATTATTTCGCTTTGGTGGAATCTAAGGATTGAGTTCGCTCTTCACAAATTAGATTCTATCCCACGAAGATTTTCCGAGTTCTAAGTCTTGGAAAAATGAGTTCACTTCGGTGGAATATAACTGTTGAGTTCGCTCATAGAATTGGATTCCATCTCACAGATCCTAAAATGCAGGTCAAGCCTCTTTCAAGAGGAGGCTCACGGCAAACCGGAAGGAACCACGTGACGATCTATATATCGGTGGAGAGCCCCTAGACTTATCTTTCCATAAAGACCAAGTTCACATCTGTTGCCGAGCCCACTTGAACGTTATCGCTGCATTCGTTCATTTGCCACAACACTTTCTCAACACTACTATCGAGGTGTATGGTCGTGTGGTGTGTGATACACGTCAAATTGATCCTAAAGCCTACTCTCTCAAATAAGAGATCTATTGCAGTACTTAAGGGTCGAATTTCACAAAGTACTTTTGTTCACACAATAAGTTATAAGTCTCGAAATTAGGCTAAACAAAATAACAAAAATTAAAATAAAACAAGCAGGTAATTTTATCAGGTGAAGAGATCAATGAAGTAAAGCGTCAAGTTAGGGAATTTCTCAGGAAATAAACTAATAGTAAATATAGCAAATTAATAAGGATTATTTAACGAACCGTTCTAGAACTCAAAACACTAACGACTAGCTAACCACCTCTCGATGCGCTAACTAACAAGTCTAATATCAGTAATTCAACCTCTCGATGCGAATTCCTAGATCTAGACTAGCATTAAATTCAGGTTTGATATGTTCACCTTAGTAGATAGGCCGATTCTTATTACACACCTATAAACCAGGCTCATCTAAGGTAGTTTCAGTAACAGGTGCCCTCTCGGATCAAATACCTATTATCCTAAGATCAAGTTCTAGTTAGCTACTCTAGAACAAGCATTAAGAACAACCTAGATGAAGAACTCTATGGATTAACTCTATGGATTAATCCTAACACGTAATCGATTTACTAGTTCATCTAAATCCCTAGTGAGAATCCCTAAACCTAACATGGAGATTACTCAGACATGATTAATGAAACAGAAAACATGTTGAATAAAATTGCAAATAATAGAAATTAAAAGAAGAAGAGAGTTTAGAATAAATCATCTCTCTAACAAGGTAATGAATCTCTGAAAAGTTGCTCTCTCCAATTATCTTCCAAATGGTTCAAGCTCAGAGAATTACAAAAGCCAAAAAACAAGATGCAGAATTGCAGGGTTGCAGGATTGCAAGATTGTAGGATAAGAAACAGAAAAACCCTAAAAACTATTTATAAAGTCTCCAAAAACGTTCAGGGACTAAAATTGCAAATAGAGAAGTCTTCTGGTTAAATTCTGCGGGCTTTAAAACTCTAAACCCGTCGAGACTTCTTGCTGGGCCGTGTTTGGTGTCGAGCGACACCAAGGGTGTCGGTCGACACCCATGCCTTGGTTTGAACTGAATTCGTCTCTTCAGCTCCAAATCTTCGGTTTAGCTCCAGAGTGATTCCTTTTCTCCAATTTCGTCCAGAACGTGTAAAAACCTGAAAAGACTCAAAAAGACACTAGAAACAACAAAAAGACTCTAAAACTAGCACGTAAATCACGGTTAAAACCGGTAAAATCCGTGATATATCAGTGTGTGTGTGTGTGTGTATTGTTGTAACAAAAATCCAAGGAGAATATTCAAGTCGTTGCGAGACATTGAATCCTTGCAGAATCAATTCAGACGCAATGTGCTTTGTTAGTCTCAGGCGCTGAAATGTTCTCTTCTCCCTCACCCATCCAACGTTAACACTAGAACAAAGATATATGTAATGTATATTGCTGAAGTCAATGGCATGATATGGTTCCATTCTTGATCTATTTCGTTGTAGATTTCTGTTTTTGAACTTAAACATCCAAGTCTTAGGAGACAAACTCAACTTCCTCCCCTGTTGTAGGCACCAAACTCTAGCTTACTATCAAATGAATTTTTGGCTTCATTGTCCTTTGATTTGTCGTCAAAGAACCAAGTTCCCTCTTGCAATTCGTCAACTAGTATAATGGCAACATTCTGAAATAGTGGAAACGATTTCTTCTGGCGAATCAAACCAATCTCTAGATTGGATTTTTTATCGCACTTGATTCATCTTCCTAAATCAATTCTTCTGTATATCTTAATTTAGTTTCATGAGCAATTACATGAATCAATTTCGTTGGCATAAAAACTTCTGGGGAAGAATGAATTTTAACTAGATCAAATCGAGCCAACAACATGTTCTCAGAGGAAGTTCAATCTCTGTCAGTGTTCGACATCTCCCGAATAAACCATTTCAACGCAGCTCCTTCTAGGCTCAAAAATAGAGGTCAAGCTTTGCTTCCCCTGCGTAACGGCCAATATATACTGAAAAACCTTTCCAGTTTCGAAAGCAATAGAGACAGATTTGTTTCATCAAACACATGCATGGGCATAGATCGTTCCACTGGTTTTCTCAATTCGCAACACTGATTCACCCAAACTCTTCATATTACGCTCAAACGCATCACCTCCACAGCTTTCAGCTTCGTAAAATACAGATTCGTCACCCAAACCCATCACGATTTAGATCGGACCAGTTTCACCGAACCAATGATTGATTTTAGTAGATTCGAAAGTTAGAACTTAGAGATTAAGAACAAAATTATATTTTTAGATCTATATATTAACAGAGAAAACACTGAGAGACTTTTTTAAGTATGTGTCATTTCAAAATGTATTAATCATAAAATTTACTTAAATAATAACCGTAAAATATAACTCTTCTCTATGTTGTAATATGCAAATAGAATTGATATTTAAACATCATTTAATTTTGCCTCACATCAGTTATTACAACCAGAGATTTTACAAAGTATTTTATATATTGGAACACTTTTAGGTGAAATTGGTCAAATCAACATGAACTACAAACAATTTTAGGATTAAGAACAACCTAGATGAAGAACTCTATGGATTAATCCTAACAGGTAATCGATTTACTAGTTCATCTAAACCCCTAGTGAGAATTCCTAAACCTAACAGGGAGATTACTCAGACATGATTAATAAAACAGAAAACATGTTGAATAAAATTGCAAATAGAAATTAAAAGAAGAAGAGAGTTTAGAATAAATCTTCTCTCTAACAAGGTAATGAATCTCTGAAAAGTTGCTCTCTCCAATTATCTTCCAAAGGGTTCAAGCTCAGAGAATTACAAAAGCCAAAAAACAAGATGCAGAATTGCAGGATTGCAAGATTGCAGGATAAAGAAACAGAAAAACCCTAAAAACTATTTATAAAGTCTCCAAAAACGTGCAGGGACTAAAATTGCAAATAGGGAAATCTTCTGGTTAAATTCTGCGGGCTTTAAAACTCTAAACCCGTCGAGACTTCTTGCTAGGCCGTGTTTGGTGTCGAGCGACACCAAGGGTGTCGGTCGACACCCATGCCTTGGTTCGAACCGAATTCGTCTCTTCAGCTCCAAATCTTCGGTTTAGCTCCAGAGTGATTCCTTTTCTCCAATTTCGTCCAGAACGTGTAAAAACCTGAAAAGACTCAAAAAGATACTATAAACAACAAAAAGACTCTAAAACTAGCACGTAAATCACGGTTAAAACCGGTAAAATCCGTGATATATCTCTGTGTGTGTGTGTATTGTTGTAACAAAAATCCAAGGAGAATATTCAAGTCGTTGCGAGACATTGTATCCTTGCAGAATCAATTCAGACGCAATGTGCTTTGTTAGTCTCAGGCGCTGAAATGTTCTCTTCTTTCTCACCCATCCAACGTTAACACTAGAACAAAGATATATGTAATGTATATTGCTGAAGTCAATGGCATGATATGGTTCCATTCTTGATCTATTTCGTGGTAGATTTCTGTTTTTGAACTTAAACATCCAAGTCTTAGGAGACAAACTCAACTTCCTCCCCTGTTGTAGATTGTGATTTCTAATGAGCATTTTTTCGAGCACCTTGTAGGCACCAAACTTTAGCTTACTATCACATGAATTTTTGGCTTCGTTGTCCTTTGATTTGTCGTCAAAGAACCATGTTCCCTCTTGCAATTCGTCAACTAGTATAATGGCAACATTCTGAAATAGTGGAAACGATTTCTTCTGGCGAATCAAACCAATCTCTAGATTGGATTTTTTATCGCACTTGATTCATCTTCCTAAATCAATTCTTCTGTATATCTTAATTTAGTTTCATGAGCAATTACATGAATCAATTTCGTTGGCATAAAAACTTCTGGGGAAGAATGAATTTTAACTAGATCAAATCGAGCCAACAACATGTTCTCAGAGGAAGTTCAATCTCTGTCAGTGTTCGACATCTCCCGAATAAACCATTTCAACGCAGTTCCTTCTAGGTTAAAAAATAGAGGTCAAGCTTTGCTTCCCCTGCGTAACGGCCAATATATACTGAAAAACCTTTCCAGTTTCGAAAGCCATAGAGACAGATTTGTTTCATCAAACACATGCATGGCCATAGATCGATCCACTGGTTTTCTCAATTCGCAACACCGATTCACCCAAACTCTTCATATTACGCTCAAACGCATCACCTCCACAGCTTTCAGCTTCGTAAAATACAGATTCGTCACCCAAACCCATCGCGATTTAGATCGGACCAGTTTCACCGAACCAATGATTGATTTTAGTAGATTCGAAAGTTAGAACTTAGAGATTAAGAACAAAATTATATTTTTAGATCTATATATTAACAGAGAAAACACTGAGAGACTTTTTTAAGTATATGTGTAATTTCAAAATGTATTAATCATAAAATTTACTTAAATAATAACCGTAAAATAT